TTGGGTCCTTGAGTTCCCGCCATTGCATGGACCGATATCTCCGGGTCCTCCTCGTGAAGATCGATTACACTTTTTACTTCATCCCCCACTACTTCATCTTCTTCGGACTCAACACATTCAATGAAAAACGATCGCCTTTCCTTGCACCGATGACCTGGTGTGAATTTCTCGTCACAATTAAAGCACAAGCCTTTCTCTCTCCTTCTTTGCATCTCTTCCCAAGACAAACGCTTAACCCCCGGTGAAAGGTCTTTTCCATTACCGGTTGATGTATTGGATCCCGTTCTTTGAACATTAGTAGGGAAAGTCATCGGTCGCCTCACTTCCGGTCGATTGGTCCTCCGTAGTGCCGTCAAGTGGTCGTCACGCATCCTGCGGCCTCCATGGCGGCACGCATGGTTCTTGGTTTGTCCAACCTCACCTCAGCTGCCAATTCGGTTTTCAACGCACCAATGAATGTACCGACAAGTGCTCCCTCCGGCCAATCGCGAACTCGACTTGCAATTCTCTCGAATTCCTTTTGGTATTCCCTTAACTTCCCGTTTGCTTGATATGTGATAGAGCTTCATTATAGTTGTGATAATCCGACACACCAAAGCGAATAATCATCTTTTTTTCGAAGTTTTTCCAACGAATCCGCTTATCCTCTTTTTTGTATACCCTCGAAAGCCATTGCCACCATACATTTGCTTCTCCGTCAAGATAATAAGAGGCATATTTCACTCTTTCCAACTTGGGTATCTCATTAATCTCAAAGTATTGACAAGCACGATTTAACCATGAATCAGGATCCGTACCATTAAATGTCGGGAGTGTTAACTTAGGCCTTTCGACCCTTTGTCTTCCACGGTGATTTGATCCCCTTGAACGAACATCTTCATCCTCCGGAAATTCGTTCCGGTTTTCATGATCCTCCTCAGATTCGGCTGACCCTTCGGAAGATGATTCCGAATGGTTACCCCTCCTAGCTCCTCGTCCAACGGTTTGGAGCATCATCCTCTCGAGTCTTGCCATCGTTTGATTCGTGGACTGAATTTCTTCGCTCATTGCACGCATGCTCTCCTCCATATGATCCATCCTCTCTCGATTAGTTGCCATGATACACGATTAGTAACTCTCAATGAAAGCACCAATGTTA